TTGAGGTACCTGGGAGCGCCGCGCGCTGCATTTTGGTTTAATCCCGAGCGGCTGGGTGGGCGTGAGAAGAGCCGAGCGAGCGGTCTCTGCTGCTGCTACCCTTGGTGCTCCAGCCTCGGGCTCTGCAAGTTTGCAAAAGTCCCAGTGCGCAGCCCGTTCCTGCATTCCAAGCACCCAGGCCGAGCTGCAGCTGTCCCTCTCTCGCCAGCGTCGTCTCCAATAACAGCGGCAGCAGCGGCGGGAACCGTGGAAGCGTTTCAGCCGCTTCTCGGGTGGGGGAGCCGCCTCCGTAACTTCCACAGTTCCCACTGCTGCTGCCGCTTATCAAAGAGAGAAGCAACCTCGAATTAAGGAAAAACTTCCTAACAGTGAGAACAATTAACCAGCGGAACAGCTCGCCTCCAGATGTTGTGAGTGGAGGTTTTTAAGAAGAGACCGGACAGTCACTTGTCTGAAATAATAGAGTCTCCTAGTTGAGCAGAAACTCCGCCAGAAATGAGTCTTTGTGAGATTTCTCACGCTGGCGCAGCCTCTTGGAGCAGGAGGCCTTGCAGGGTCCCAAAGACTCATTTCTGGCGGAGTTTGGGGGAGAGAAAGAAAGACTTTTGCTGCTTTCCTTGCGTGCAGCCAAAACCAGAAGAAGAAAGAAGTGGAAAGAAGCAGCCCGGTGGCCAGGCCAGGTGTGTGGGGCGAGTGGGGCAAGTCCCCCCCCTCCACCCTTTCCCCCCCTCCTGTCACTACTCATGTTGTTCACAATGCAAGTGACGCAAACCTTGTGTTCCCGCGGGCCATGTGGGCGGCGCAGCCTTGTGTTCCTGCACAGCCTGGATTAATTGCTTTGGAGGTGACATTTCTCTGCGGACCACCAAAATTTTCTCACGGACCACCAGTGGTCCCTGGCCCACTGGTTGGTGACCATTGGCCTAACATTCCAAGAATTTGCTTTCTCCCACTGTCTATACTATAGCCATACTCTTTGCATTGATGTGTGCAGATTTGACGGTTGTCTTTTTCTTATAAACATTTGCAGAATCCTTGTCCTGAATCCGGAGCCTCTTTTGTTTCCAAAATCACATTCTGGTGGTTTGCTCGGTAAGAATTCAAACGACATCCCCCCCCCCCCCGCCTTTTAAGTGTCAAGCAATGGCTGTCCAATCCATCTGTTCGGCTGGGCAAAATATTTTGCTGAGCCTTTTCCCCCCCCTCCAAGTTAAACCGGGTGGCCTTCTGCTGTGAATCAAAGCTGCTCTCAGAAGCCAAAATCATTATGGGAAGTTGACAGTTAATATTCTGCAGAGCAATCTCGAGAACGGAGGCCTTAAATTAAGGAGCTGCAGCCCCCAAAAAATGGTTTTTATTTTTTTTTCTTTTTATGGCCAAAAGAGCCTAAGAACATAGTGCAGACATAATTTCAACATTTGACAGAAGGCAAACAAGAGAAATGCACCTTGCCCTTTGATAACCAAAGCATTGCAATGGTTGTGGTTCACCAGCAGCGGAATTGGACTGTGGGGAAGAACGGGGACCAGTCCTGGAGTCTGGGGAGGATTCGGATGAGGGTCCTGCTTCTGATGCAGGGATGAAGCCAGGACCATCTGGGAGTAGCGTGCTCCGGAGTCTGGCAGCAGTGAGGCAGAGGACCCAGGGGAGCCTGTTCCCAGTGCGCGTGTGCGCAGAGCTGCCAGAAGACAAGAGCAGCTGAGACAAAAGGGGCAACTCAGGAATAAGGCTGGGAGGTGATTGCTCCTCCCATAATAGATAAAAGTCAGGCCAAGATGACGAAATCTTTGCAGGAAGCAAAGTTGTTCGTTCGGTTCAGATTCATTCTTGAAGCTCTTTGCTCTTTGGTTTTTTTATAATTCATTTGGCACTCTAGTTATTGGCGGCAATTCAAAGGAGAGAAAGATGGGTGCTTATCTCGAGGGACTGTTTGGGACTCACTACCAGCTGGGAATGAAAATAATTCCCAGTGTTGAAATAAAACAAGAGTTGTTTTAACTAAGTATGTGCTTAATTACGGTCTCGGGAAGCCTTGGTCAAAAAAGCAATCTTGATCCAACAAACCCAGATGTCACGGCTTATAAGGCTCACAAACACAGATGGTCCTGGACTTATGACCCACAACTGAGCCCAAAATTTATGTTGCTAAATGGGACGTTTGTTAGGTTTTTTCACATTTTACAACCTTTCTGGCCACCGTTGTTAAGTGAACCACTACAGTTGTTAAGCTAGTAACCCAGTTGTGTAGTGAATCTGGCTTCCCCCATGGACTTTGCTCGTCAGAAGGTCACAAAAGGGGATCACATGACCCCAGGACACTTCAACCATCATAAATATGAGTCAGTTGCCAAGCATCTGAATTTTGATTCCGTGACCATGGGGATGCTACAATGATCATAAGCAGTGGTGGGATTCGAAGATTTTTTACCACCGGTCCAGTGGGCGTGGCTTGGTGGGCACACTTTGTGCGCGTGCACACACTTTGCGTGTGTGCACACGCCAAATGCACACTTTGTGCAGGCGCAGAGGTGTTCCAACTCTCCTCCTGGAAGCCTGCTCTCTCCCTGATGTTTCAGCAGCTGCCGCGTGGCAATTGCTGCGCAAAGCAGCTGCGCTTCAAAAGCAGAGGATAAAGGTGAATATGGGAGCCCGGGCAGGCAGGTGGGCCCAACAGCAGAGTGTCAGAGAGAACCAGTTTGGTCTCCGCTGCTCATCGGCACTACTGTTGGAGTCTGACTCCGAGGGAGAGGAGGAACAGCCGACAGGGAGTGGAAGTGTGGCTCCGGAGGTTGTGGACGAAGGGGGGAGGGGCAGACAGTGGCTGGGCAGTCAGAGGAGGACCCAGGCCATCCCGTCTCCATCCTAGAGCATGCAGGGAGGAGAGGATAAGGGAGAAACATGAATAGTGTGGTCTATAGGGGAGGAAAGGACCTTGATCCCTTTCATGGGCTGCAGCTGTGAGAACTGGTTAAAAGGACAGACATGTGTATGGGCCAGTGCTGGAAACAAAGCATGAAAATATTTCTAGTCTGTCCGTTCTTACCTGAGTTTGGCGTCCTTCCCAGTGTGTGTTCCGATATCTGTGGACGTCTTCAAGCCCTTATCTTGCCTGGTTCCCTTAATTGCTTCAGTGTGGTTTGTGTTGTTTTTACTCTTGATAACTTATAGGAATTTTTAGTTTAAACGGCATTTCCTCCTTTTCGTAACTGCTTGTGGGGGAGTTTTTTTTTTTTTTGTCTCCAGTCAAGGATATTTGGAGCTTTGAAGCAAAGTGAAGGAACAAAAGGGGCTTCACCTATTTTTGTGACTGTATTTATTTGGTATCCCACCCTGGGTCATCACAGTCCCTTGTTTCAGTGCCGTTGTAACTTTGAACAATCTCTACATGAACTATTGTAAATTGAGGACTGCCTGCAACCAGGATTGTGCAAAACCTTGATTTGACGCAATTGAGCTAAAAATTCCCTTGAAATTAAATTCCTAAATCCCTCGAATCTGGTCCTTTCAGGTCAGTTTGTTCACCAGAATTCTGTCCTTGAATTGACCATCCAGATTGACTCATGTCATCCAATCCATGATTTGTAAGGCATGTGGGATGATTCAAGGGCCTCTAGTAACAACTGAACATGTTTGCGCAACGGGATATCCACTACACTACTAGGCTTGAGATTTTGAATTTGGACAACCTAGAACTATGCCGCCTACAGTTTGACTTAAGCATAGTTTATAAAATAATCTGTTTTAATGTACTACCAATCAATGACTTTTGCACCTTCAACTGCAACAATACAAGAGCACACAATAAATATAAACTTAATGTAAACCGCTCCAAACTCAATTGCAGAAAGTACGACTTCAGCAACAGAGTGGTCAATGCCTGGAACTCACTACTTCATTCTGTTGTCACATCCCCAAACCCACACACACTCCTTTTCCCTCAAACTAACCACTATTGACCTCCCCCATTTCCTAAGAGGTATGTAAGGGGCGTGCATAAGTGCACAATCGTGCCTACCATCCCTGTCGTATTGTCCCCAATTATTCGTACCCATTTCCTGTATGTTTAAACTTACGTTTATTATCTTGTAAGCTATTGACAAATAAATACAATAAATAAATAAGTGAGCCGCGGTGGTACAGTGGTTAGAGTGCAGTACTGCAGGCTACTTCTGCTGACTGCCTGCTGACTGCAGTTTGGCAGTTCGAATCTCACCAGTCTTAAGGTTGAGTCAGCCTTCCATCCTTCCAAGGTGGGTAAAATGTGGACCCAGATTGTTAGGGACAAGAGGCTGACTCTGTAAACCGCTTAGACAGGGCTGTAAAACACTGGGAAGTGGTATATAAGTCTAAGTGCTACTTCTATGAACCATCCTTTATTGGTAATCCAAACACAAGAACAGATTAATCTGATGCATAGCATTTTTCCTCTTTTGTGACTTGATCTTTTTGCTTTCTGCAGGCTGATCTGGAAAGGCTACTGGACTCCATTACAGCCAGACATCCTGTGGTCACTAGCAAAAGAGAACTCTTCTGAAGAAATCATGGGCAAGGTCAAAGATGCTTGGGATAAAGGCTGTCCAAAAAGTGAACAGTAAGTTCCTTGAGTTTGCGTCCATTTTTCTTGCTGCCCCATTTATTTAGAAAACCTACAAGTAATCCTCAACTTACAATTATTTGTAGAGCGACCATTGGAAATTACAACAGCACTGAAACAAGTGACTTACGACCAGTCCTCGCTCTTACAACCGTTGCAGCATCTCCACAGCCAACAAAATTAGGATTCTTGGCAACCAGCAGTTCAAAACCCAGTGACAAATATGCAAAAGAACAGCAAGGAATCCAGTGGTTTTTCATGCTGTATTCATGATTCCACCCCCACCCACCCCCGATTTTTAAATTTTATTTATTTATTTTTCTTTAGTTATTCAATTTTTTATGCTACCACTCTCTCCTATAAGGTGACCCTGGACAGCTTTTTTAGCTCTCGGTTTCTTCCTATTCCTCTTTTAATTGGATTTCTCTTGTGTGGAGAGACTTAATCATTGGCAAAATGCTGAAAACGACACTCAAAGATGCTTGCTTGTTATGTGTTTCCTGCAGAATGACCAAATTTGCGAGATTTAAAAGAAGGCTAACCCAGAGAGAAAATGCGGATGAGACTACCCTATTGCTCCAACCAGAAGCTATCAAGAGCAAAGAACTTCTAAAAACTTTCTGGACTGTTTTTGGAACTTATTTTCTTCTGGCAACCCTCTGTTTGGTCACCTGTGATGTCTTCTTGTTTTTGGTTCCAAAGACACTGAGGTATGTGAATCTTAAACTTTGTTTCCAAAGGGGGATTAATAAGGTTGTTTGAAGTCCTTGCATCTGTCTGATCTACAGTTTAATCCAGGAAAGTAGCTGCTATCAGAGTAAATAATATTGGAGGAGACAATAATCATGCACCAGGCCAGAGGTGGTATTCAGCCGGTTCTGACCAGTTCTGGAGAACTGGTAGGGGAAATTTTGAGTAGTTCGGAGAACCGGCAAATCCCACCTCTGACTGGCCCCGCCTCCATCTATTCTCTGCCTCCCATCGAGTCCCAGCTGATCGGCTGGGTCTTCTTTTGTTGCCCTGCACAGGAGAATGGAGCTGGAAAGCAGGTTAGTGGGGTGGGAAGGGAAGGGGGATTTTGCAGTATCCTTCCCCTGCCACACCCACCAAGCCACCAAGCCATGCCCACAGAACCAGTAGTAAAACAATTTGATTCCCAGCACCGCACCAGACACATCTTGGCAAATAGGATCATGATATCTTCAGTTGAAAGGATTGAGTGATGAAGGTTGGAAAACATAAGTCTCCATTTGGGATTTTAGGGGCAGGCATGAAGAATCAGGACTATGCGTTAAGTTGCAGTTAAGAAGGTTTATTGCTCAAACCTATACAGAACACTCTACTCAACTAATAATCATCACTAAATTGGTGCTAGATGAGACTCAGCAGAATTCAATATGGGCTGGACTTGGATTTTGTGGGAACATGATTCTATGCTGATGACTCACTTAACTCTGCCCACCACTTCTACTTGCTCTTTTTCTATATTTAAATATCCCTGGCCTGTGTTATGAGCTAAACATAAATTACATTCACCTAACACAATTAACCTGGTGGTTAATTTAACCCGTTTCCTTGGCTTTGACCATTCATTGAACTATACACAAATTTCCAAACGAATCCAGATGAAATGTGCCACGTTTTGTAACTTTACAAGCAGATGCCGCTGTTAGGTCATATTTCACCAGTCAAATCAAGTACAGCATAATATAACTTGGAAGGAGAGAACTTTTTAAGATCCTAACCAGGGTCGGGATTCTACCCGGTTTGGACCGGTTCTATAGACCTGGTTGTTATGATCCTGTGTAGTTCGGAGAACCAGTGTGCGCCTGGATGGCCCCGCCCCTCTCCACCCTCCCTGCCCAGTCAGTCCTTATTGCACATACGCAACATTGCACGCATGCCCAACATCGCTGGCTGTGTTCTTCCCTGTCCGCTTCTTACAGTATTTCTTTTGTTTTTTCCCTCCCAATGATTAGCCGTTCCTATGATCAGATGTGCTGGAATTCCCCTCGCTGTCTTACTGCTTTGCCCAGGAGGCTTCCCTGAGGCCCATGAAGGCAAAAAATGGAGGGGGGCACAGCAAACCCTCCCGCCGCTGCCCCCCCGGCTCAGTTTTTTGCCAACCTGAGCCCGGGAGCAAACCCCCCCCCCCCCCCCGAAGCCCAGAAGGCCCAAAAAACAGGAGGAGTTGCTGCAAAAAAAAAAGCCACGCCCACCCAGTCACATGGCCACGCCCACCTAGCCACGCCCACCTAGCCACGCCCACAGAACCAGTTGTTTTAAAAAAATGAATCCCGCCCCTGATCCTAATGGCGCACCATTGGCCTAAAAGGTTTTTATGGGTGGTTGCGGCTCCCATTCCAGGACAGTAGAATTGCTTTGATTCTTCTTGCAGTCTTTTCCTAGATTTTATCAATGACCAAGAAGCTCCTCTTTGGATAGGTTATTCCTACGCTGCCGCGATGTTCCTTTTGGCTTGTCTGCAGACGCTGTTTGAGCAGCGGTACATGTATATGTGTTCCGTGCTTGGCATGAGGTTAA